TTTCCACATTCAACCAAACAGTCTCTTGATACTGAATCGCAGTCTGAAATAAGCAAATTTCCAGATTGTATAATARTTTAAGAAGCTGAGGCCTGGGAGTTGAAAGCGATAAAAAACATCCTTACCTTCGCAGTGGTTATAGAAAACTAGAAAGCAAAATAAAATGCCAAGTTTTGGAATTGTTAGAAGCACGAGTGTATTCTRACGAGAACTGATGTCCAAAGTGCGGAAAAATGTCATGCGGTGCAATCTGACATGCTAAAGCTGTCAATGAGTGTGGTCTGATATAATTGTCTTGCTCAAAAAAGAAATCAGTACTTTAGTTAATTTACTTTAATATTCAGCTAAGCACTTAAAAATTAATATATCTCGGCCACAAACCGCCGACCGGTTAGCTCAGTAGGTAGAGCATCGGACTTTAGTGCGGGAGGTCGCAGGTTCAAACCCCGGCCGTGTTGTATACATGGGTTCCCTGTGTTTAGGMCKCAAGGCATGTTGGGRAACACATGGTGAGAGATCAGAAAATAAAGAAAGTTCTGTCTCGCAATTCTGTTTCTACTGTGCTTTCCTAGTGTGTTGTTATTGTTATCCAATGTTCAAGATACAACAGGCCGGACCAACACTCAGGGTCTTAAAATAATTGAGGAGAAGTTGCTGCCTTTGTCTTTCTCCATCTGCAAATAGTAAGATCTTCTCGTCCTCTCGGATAACGACGTAAAATCGGAGGTCCCGTCTCTCTACACTTCACTCACTAACCTGTATTAGAGGGACGTTAAAGAACCCACACCACTGTTCGCATAAGAGTAGGGAATGATTCCCGGTGTGTGTGGCTAGGCCTTACTACTAACCCATACTAATTACTAATCCCTCATGATTGTAAGCCGCGTGGCTGCCAATTGCGCCTTAAACAGCGGTCCGTGTGAAATGATCTATACATGTGAAGCGCCTTTGAACTCAGAGGATATCGGCACTATATAAATACCACATATTATTATTATTATTTTATATCTCTTAATTATTTTGCTCTATTCACTCATGATGCCGAGTCCAATGCCCTGGACTTGGGGCATCTATGAGGGGGTGTAGACAGAGCGGAAAAACGACTACGCATGCGCGGCTCTAGCTAAATCCAAGATGGCGGCCGCTAAACTGCCGAAAAGTGTTCTATGGAAAAATTGCTTTTAAACCGCCAAAAATGTTATGTCTGTGGTTGTGAATCCTCCTGGAAGCTTCTTAGACATTTATCTTTCGGAGTGAGTAGTCTTTTCGAATACATTTTATCGACATCGCCAAAAATATCGCGTTCTATTTCGGTGTTTTGATCGCATTCTTCCCCGTCTGCCGATCCGTTGACAACACATCGAAAATCGTATTTTTTAAGGAGCGGTTTAAGTTTATAAGCTTCATTTTTTACCAAAAGAAACTTWGATATATGCTCTACAATATATCAAAAATGATTTTTAAATCTCGAATATGAATTTTCACAATTTACATTTGAACTCGACAATGCACTTGTATTGGGTTCGCTTCAGATATAAGTTTACTTACTGTTCGACCACGTTACTCTTCTGCTACTTTTCGATGGAATCGATTTTTTAGGGATATCTTGAATTCGGTGGATAAATAAAACGATGAACTCTTTGGAGTGCTTGGCATATCGTCTTCGTCRTTATCATCATCAGGATCCTCATCGTCACCATCATCAAGGTTGTTGTCGTTCTTTTCTAGAAGCCCAATATTGAAAGTAGTAGAAACTGTGGAGATTTTAGACAATAGGTTTGGCAAACACACTGGACAACTTCCATCAGGCATGCAGTGGATATGAAAGGAGTGACCACAAGTTAACAGTCGACAATAGTCATGGTCTTGGACTACACAATTGTTTGCATCACAAAGCTTTTCAGGATCTGGTTGATCCTTATCCCAGGCATAGCCAAGGGGAAGACTCCTCTGGTCAACAGTAGCATCAATTGTAGGTAAGTAGTATGGCTATGTACAAAGAAATGATTTCAAAATAATATCATAATAATATTATCTAAAATTATTTGACTGTATTTAAAATGTACCTGAAACTTCTTTCTCCCTTTTGGCAAAACAACAGTTTTCTCTGTACTATTCCATACATTACCAAAGAGATCTATTAAAAATTCTGCAGCTAAACCACATAGAATGGAGTAGTCTTGGTGTCCTTGCCCTCTCTTGYATTCTGGTGCAAACCACTGCTCAAAGCCGTTGTTGAATCTTAAAGTATTAAGTAGGTGGGCAGCGTTTTTTATCTGCTCTGCAGTGTACCATGGTTGAATTTCACTGTTTATAAAGTATAATATGTTATACAAACATGTTTACATGTAAGTTGAAAACAGTGGAAGACAAGTATTATTGTTATTATTATTATTATTATTATTATTATTGTATTATTATTTCTGCCTGTTGTGTATTTGGGTGCTTTATTTACTCGTGAAACGACCATAAACAAAGAGCCTAGTTTTACAACACGTTTTTGATACGTCCTCTAAATGGCCAAGTAACCTGGCCTACAAAGGGAGCCCATATACAACA